CTCTAATCGGAATGTGAGTTCCAACATTCAAAAGTCTTGTAGAGTTGTCAACTCCAACCGATCGACCGGATGGTTTTCTCATTTTATTGCTCGTAATCATTACCGCAATAGGCCTTGGACGTTTTCGAAAATTTGCATCCTTTAGAAGTTCATCTACCAACAAACTTCGAAACATTAGACAAGAAACTGGTTTTTTACGAGATCTCAAGGATAACTCCTTATAGCAAATATAACTATTCGTAATAACAGCATCAATGAGGTAGTAGAAAATTCGAATCCACCATCGTCTACTTTTCCATGAAATATTATTTTTACCTGAAAAAAGAAGTCTTGAAAAATCGAACCGAACTGCAAAATAGACGAACTGGGTTTTCAAAGTTTTTTACATACCATACTATATATTTTCATTGACCATATTTTGGCATACGAACAATAAATAACCTTTGAATGAAGAAAAACGGTTTTTCACAGGAATATCTACACGGTATACGCCAAGCCCCCCCTCCCCCTTCCCCCGAGAACGCCACTGCCTCCTTAATTACTTTCAGATAGTTAAAAATATATATTATAAAAGAATTTGAAAACAAAAATATCTCGAGCTTGAACTTACAATTGACCTGGTAAGAAAGGACTTTTTTCCTTCTTACACGGCCAGAAATACTAAATAACATCTAAACTCAAACAAATAATGATTGAGAGTGAACCGTGTTGTCATATCTCAATTTTACCTTACTAGTTTTTAGCAGAATCAAAATAGAGTAAGTAGTAGAGTTGTAAGTTGTGGCAAATTATAGATAATATACAATCATAGTACTAAGATATTAATAATAACAAAAATCAGTAATGAGTAATACTTATACATTTCATGATCATTTAAAATTAATTATTTTATGGATTGTTCAGTATTTGTTACAACTAATTTAAGTAATACTTCTGTATGTGTAACCCAAGAAGAAACTTAAGAGACAGTTCCTTACTGACTTCGGCCGCGACATAATATATAAATATACGTTAATTTGTGAAATAAAGTTAAATTCATTATTAAAATAGTAAAATTGATAATATTGTTTCTGTCACCAAACCAACCCCTGATTAGGTATCTTTCTTATTTTTAATTTGAAATATATATATTGTGATTTTTATTAATATTCTTAATTTATTTGGTTCCTACTATAATTACCACAATTATTACTCCGTTTTCATAAAGCCCTACTAATGACTACAACGATTAGGTAAATTACGATATTGCAAAGTTTTCATGAAATAAATAAAAGAAATTGTATGAATATTTTAAATAATTGTACCCTCTCAAAAATAATAAGCACGCCTCCGATTTGGTCGTATTTCTACCTGCTTTCACTCTCAATCATTATTTTTTTGAGTTTAAGCGCAAAAATATGCTAATATTTTTATGTGCTAAATTTCTAGCTTATAGTTCCAGAAAAACAGTGATCTAAAATAATAATGCTTATTTTTTTATATTTTGTGAAATATAATGATAAACAAAATGTCTTACCTTGAGAAAACTTGGGAAATCTCTGATATTTTGTAACAAATTCGATGGCACTAATACATGTATAGAACAGGAATAAGCCACGACTAGTTTTTATTTGCTTTTTCTTTAGAAAGATATACGAAAACAAAAAAAGCGCGCCAATTGTTTCGGCAAAATACCGCTATCGAGTGCGTAGTGGTTAGTTAAGTGATCACTTTCAATATAAATGGCCAAGCGTTAAAAATGTCGCCATCTAATCGATCACTACGTATGTAGACTTGTTAGGTATGCCGATTAGAGCTATATTCGGCTAATTTGGTCACTGAATAAATTATCGGTATGATACTTATTGACGTGGTTAGTATATTGACCACAGCTACTTAAAGGGTTAAACTGTTATATCCAGTTTCACAGCTGCAGCAAATAGTTTTGAGCAATATTTCCGGAATTAACTCCTTCTCTGTAAATTTGGGCATAATTCCACGTTAATGTTGCTTCCAGCCCCAATCTGTTGCTGTCAGTACGTTACCTAGCCAAGTTTGAAGTTGATAATATGCCCTGTAACAATGTTGTTCTGCTGCACCTTCTGTGGGTGGGAGATTTGCCAATATGAAAGATGATTTAATTTTTGCCAATTGATATTTTTTAAATCTTAATTGATTCAGTGTTATATTATCATTTTCACATTTATAAATAGATTTGATTAATTGTAATCCATTTTTTTTTCGATATCTTTTTTGTTTGCATCTTTTTTATAAAAAATATTGGCCAAATTTGACACATTTTTATCGTCTAATAAATAATGAATTTACAATACTCTTCTTTCCTTTTCCGGCAAATCCAGATGTTGTATCGCAACCAGAAAAACAATGCAGAAATGCAACGATATTTTTGAAGGATTTATATTTGAAACTATTAGACGTGAACCTGGTTTGAGAAAATAAATGTCATGATTATTTGAAGTTAATTGATTCAAAAGGACCACAAGATCAATATCTTGATCCACAACATTGACAGTTTTATTGGTATCTCTGGCAATTTCTATCGAAGTTTTAATGTCTGCAGTGATTAAAAAAAAAAAATTTCAGATTCGAGTTTTTTTCTTTTCTTTGCATTTTCTGAGAACATTTACCATAGTAATATATATATATATATATATATATATATATATATATATATATATATATATATATATATATATATATATTTTTTTACATTATCAGAAAGAAGAGATTTCAACGAACAAAAAATCCAGACTTTTTTAAAAAGCTGATATTTTGACGCGAGAATTTTCGATTGAAAATTAGGTTTTTTCGATATTAAGTCAAAATAAGGTGAAAAAATAAATATTTCAAATCAAAAAAATTACCGTGTGTTTAGGACATAAAAAGGTAAGTTTTCACCAAATTTCGAGAAAAAAATTTTTTTTTGCATAAGAAAAATAAAAAACAAAAAACTTGATTATTTGAATTTTTCACATAAATTTTGAGGTTATGTGAAAAAAGTGTAATCACAAAAGTTGTAGGTCTATTTATTGCCTACTTTGTCATTTAATTTTTTCCATAGGACTTGTAGTTTTCCCGAAAATCGAGATACACCGTTTTTTACCCTTAAAAACTCACAATTATTTTTCATTTTTGTTATATTTTCGTCCTTTTTTAACAGGTTTCATCCTACTATAATTTTTTTTTCACTTTTTACTATTTTCAAAATTATCGACCCTACTCTAAATTGTTTCCGTATTGGCTTACTGTTTTATGGTATTGGTATTAAAGGGGCTTTTTTTTCCCTCCTGGGCTCGTCTGACTATGTGTCTCCGAATAATACTGAAGCCTATTGGCTTATTGTGTTTTACCCCATGTTAGTTCATAGCACCCACTCTATCACCTTTGTACCTTGCAGAGTTGGGTCGAATACTGAAATCCGGTATTCGAATACGAATCCTGAATACTGTATTCTAAATTGTATTCGAATAATCAATATTCGAATACAAAGAAAAAAAAGTATTTGAATACCGCTGTATTCGAATACCTGGATTCATTTACATATGAATACTTTATGAATATTCCAACTACAAATAATATGTGCGCACATAAACCTTGATTATTATTTATGTAGTTAATTTATAAAAATATAAAAAGAATAAAAAATCTATGTTAAATAAAACTTGAAATATCATTTTTTGATACACAGTGTCACAGTGAGGTTAAATAAAATAACTGTTTAATAAAAAACTTTGTTGATTTTTATTTCTTAAAGTCTTATTAAAAAATTATAAATAACGATAAAATAATGAAAAAGTTAAAATAAAATTCTTTGGTACACCGTCAGATAAAAACACAAACTTATTGTTTAATAAAAAATAAATAATTCCCATTACCTATAACCTATACCCTACAACCTACTTACTTATACAGAGTGTCCCACGAGATACGCCTCGGACCATAACTCCATAACGGTGCAATTTTCGAAAACTAATTTTTAAAGATGGCTTTTTTGAATATACACAACTAAGGACACTTACAAAATTTTTGAAAATTGCACCGTTATGGAGTTATGGTCCGAGGCGTATCTCGTGGGACACTCTGTATAATAAATAAAACTTAAAATAGTTTCTTTGGTACATTCATTGGAGATTGGAACACAATAAGGTAACACAATAGAATTGCTTAGCAAAAGAAGCTATTCTTGAAAAATAATCTTAAATAATAAATAACTTAAAATAAATTCTTTTTGTTTTAAATAAAATATAACATAATATTCATAACGACGCACTAGTACTTGGATATCAGAAAGAAAACATCAATCAAAAAGCATTTCCTATCCCGTTTGCCTTCAACAAAACCAACATTTCAAAAAGATCGCAATATTCATAGAAATAATCAAACAGTATTCGAAAACAGGATTCGAATACCGGGATTCGAATAGCGGGATTCGAATACAAAGTGGGTATTCGAATACTAGGATTCAAAAATGGTATTCTGAATCCAAAATACCGAGTACTGACTAAAAAAGTATTCAGTCGAATACCGAATACAGAAAACACAAATGTATTCGAATATTATTCGAATACCAGCCAAATGTATTCTGAATACGATTCAGAATACCGGGTTTTCGAATACTACTCAACTCTGGTACCTTGTACAAGTTTGTACAGATCCTTGGGTGAGTGGGTTCTATACGTTGTTGGATCAACCTGGGGTTGTCCAAAAAGAGCCTGTCTTTTGCGATCTAGAGCTTCGCCAATTTTGTTCAAGTGTCCCTTTACTGGGGCGTACCCAGTCATGGGCCACTTTCAACTGGTTCCTATTCATTAAGAGTAGTTCTCCAGTTCTTTTGGGACATGGTCTGCCTATGAAGGCTTTTCCATGTGCCTGTTTTGGGGTGTAAAGGGGCTTGCTGCACAAATCACTATTTTCAACTCATGACATGAAGTGACCAATATTTTTTTACGTCTTTTTAATAAAAATGCAATCCCAATAACACTCTTTATTGCTTGTTTCAGCGTTCGAAGTGTGATGCACAAGTATCTAGAAAAGAAGAACGAGGTGAATTTCGACAAAATCTTCCATCAGACTTTAGGTGAGTGTTTTTGGATCTTTGAAGTTTCTTAGGTTAAAACTATTGATTATTTTTACTTGTTGCATGCAAAAAATATCCAAGCTGTCTTGAATTACATATTATTTCTGAATTGATTGGTACATCGAAAATGAGTTCAAACATTGGTTCTATAGCAGCCGGCACGTAGAAACTTATTCGCCAGGTGCGCGAAGGAAGCGACATCTTGTGACCGCATTAAATCTGGCCCTATCAATGATGAATTACATGTAAAATTTTTATAAATACAAAATAAAAAGAAAATCGCTGTGAAATAGAAGTGTAATACGTGATAAATATTAAATTAATAGTAAATATTACATATCGCGATTAAAAAAAGTAAGTATAAGTAATTTTAATGAGTATAAAATGCATTTTATTTTAAATAAAATAATGCTGAATAGATAAAGGCCAAAAATAAAGAAGAACATAATAGTATTAGGTTAACTGTCAAAAATAGGTTAGTTTAAAAATGTAAACTATTAATATGTTTCAATAAATTCTCTGCCAATGAACATCATTATTCAAACAGGATTTGAAGCAATATCTCATGAGATATTGTTTTAACCTAAATAGTCCAATCATTATAGTAAGTTCACCTCGGAATTCGAGATACCCAGCTGTAAGTCTGTAAATACTTGTATATTGACACCCTAAAAGTTGTCTCAAAACCTACATATGGTAGGGTGTACGCATCTATTAAATTTCAAGGTCAAAGGTCACAAAAATCGGTTTTTTGCGCTTTTTTTTTGTAAATATCTCATTTCCTATGGGTTTTTTGCTATTTGAATTTATTATCAATATTGTAGAATACAAAATTCTCTAAAAATTTTGTTTAAAAAAATTTTTCATACGGTGAACCGTTTTCGAGATAGATGACGGAGAGCGCGCGGTCACAGCATCACTTCAGGTCAACCGGTGCCTCCGGTCGAAAACGCGCCATATATAGTTGATGAAATATCGATAAATCAATGATTATAAATATTTGTCAATTTTTATTAACTATTATATTATATTTTATCATTTTTTTTCCTAACCTATCCACTTTTTATTTAGTATTAATTTATTTAACAACACTTACCTGCCCATGTAATTGCAAAATTGTTAATGAAAATATAGGAATTATATTTGAATTTTAACCTAATTAATATTAATAAATTCTTACATGATAAAAAAAAACAAATAAATTATGAATTAATCTTTTTATTAAAAAATTTCATTCAATACATTTATTTTTATTAAAAGTAAAAAAATGGAATAAAAGGTACAAAAACTACAATTTATAATTTTAATAATCTTTTTCCTCTTCATCGTCGTCTTCCGGCTGCTGGTAAATTTCAAACTGGTCTTCATTATCGTCTTCAACGACATTTCTCTCAAGTTCTTCCATGATTTCGGGGTCAAAGGTTCCATCTTCGTTAATGTCGCTCTGATATGGAAGAGCATTGAGACAAGCTTGCCCATTACATTGGCCACAAGCTAAAGAGCATTGCAAGCCTGCTTTCCTGCATCCGCATCGCGAACCACAACCACTCTTGCAGTTGCAGAAAATTGTATTTAGCAAATCTTCTGGAGCAGGTGGTAAAATTGTCATGATAGGCTCCAGAAAATCGTTTCGCATTGCCCAACTCCATACCTGGGGTTCCAAATCATGCCTTAACCAAGTTTGAAATTAATAATATACACGTTTGAAAGGTTGATGAGCAGCTGCTCTTGTTGGTGGAATATTTGAAAGCTGCACAGGTTAAGTTTTGTAGACTTGACGTAATGCATATAACGAAGATGATCGAGACTTTTCACAGATTTCGGAGCATTATAGACTGCCAATAAGATTTGAGTTCCACTCTCTAATAATCTCTGGGCCGAACAATTTTCTTTCTCAAATGCTGCAGCTAGTTCATTCAAATTTGTCAGTTTCTCAAAAACTTTAAAAAATGATTTTTTCCCTTTTTAAAAAGCGCAGAAGTTGTGTCACAGCCACTTAATGCGTGCAGAAATAAAATATGTGTTTTGGAATGAGGATAATTATCAAAACTTTTAGTCAAGTATATCCCCGTTTTTACATTTCCTTTCCCAACTTTTTTAAAGAAAATGTCTTGTTCGTAAGACAGTGTACGCCCAATTAAAATGACAAGTAAATCAATATCTTGTCCTATTATAACTGCAGTTTTTTCAGAATTTGATTCTTCAATTGCAGTTTCAACAATAAGAACATCAGCATTATCTCTGGCTTGTTTAGTAGTAATATTTGCAGCTTGTAATTTTTCAATTAACATATTAATGAGCATATCTTTGTTATTTCGATTTGATAAGAATTTTTCTTGAGTAACTGGTACAACTATTGTTTCATCTTCTCTGCTGCTCCATAGCTTTTACGTTCTTACTGTAATCTGAATTTTTTTAAACAAAATTTGTAGAGAATTTTGTATTCTACAATATTGATAATAAATACAAATAGCAAAAAAACCCATAAAAAATTAGATATTTACAAAAAAGCGCAAAAAACCGATTTTTGTGACATTTGACCTTGAAATTTAATAGTTGCGTACACCCTGCCATATGTAGGTTTTGAGATAACTTTTAGCGTGTCAATATACAAGTATTTACAGACTTACAGCTGGGTATCTCCAGTTCCGAGATTTAAGCTTAAATGACTGGACTAAAAACTTTGTACAAAGGAAAACAACTGGTAAGGGTAAATCATGTCAGAGAAGTGAAAGAATTTAGAAAATGCGCGGACTTGCCTCCTCTTCTGATTTTTTACCTCCAATAAAATGATCGCTACAAATGTAATCATTTGGTTTTGGGATCCACGGTGATCCATCAAGACTATAAAAATATTATTTTAGTTATAAGAAAAGGTAAAGTTAGGTTGTACATTACTTACTTTTTTGTTTTAACTGCTTCTATCCATTTCGCTCTTTTTTCTAATTTCCAACTGTCAGTTGGAAATGTATAAAATTTGCAACTACTATTTTTGCCTGTATTTTTGCAATTCACAACGCAACAAGTAGAATGCCCCATTTTTCGTATAGAATAAGTACGGTTAACTGTCAAAACGTCAAAAGACCGAGAAAAACAAACCGTATTTTGCTTAGCGATTTTGTCATATTCAGGCTATCGTATACCGTGAAGATTTATCCCTATTACTTCTGAATGGTTAAAGATTAAAGTATAGGAATTGCTTTGTTGGCAAGAAAAAACTATGATTAACAAATTTGTATTCGTTCAAAATTTTCCAAAACTCAATAGTTTTTGATATAATGGCGTAATAATTAAAAATTAAATGTAATTGAATTTAAATTTTTGTTAAAACTCAAAAACTAATAACCTTAGGTAAATTAATTATTCACCATTCGACGGAGAAAACTGTTCTCTACAAATTAGCAGGAACGAAAAATGTTCGTAAATCCAACCGTTCATGAGATATTTAAATTCTTTTATTAATTTATTCACAACAAAATCCAGATGTAATGCCTACTTTGTCCACTGCGAACGCTGCTGTCGATTCGACTGTCCCCACCATATACTTTGCACCTTGCGAATAGTGGACTTTATTTTTTGCGCTAGGAGTAAGTTTTCTGCACTAAACGCATTTGATTTGTTCAGTGTGGCTTTAAATATTTGACACATACTTAAGTGTAGCATATACTTTTGACAAGTATGACAGTTCGAATACAGTGTCGAGTGTGACACTAGAGCAACAAATCAAATCTGTGATTAAATAAACTTATAGGCGATTTTATAAAGTAGGACAACATGTTGAAAAGTTCTGCTTTTCACAACCTTAGGAAGATTGAATTTTGATATTAATACGTCAAGGGGATATAGAATTTATAATGTAGGAAGCAGATTTCATTAATTTCCTTATAACTTATTCAAGTAAGTTAATGTACTCTTAATTGTCATTTATGGAGGGGTTCGATGGTGTAGTTAAAAAATATTCATTAAACAAATTAGAAATAATGTTGCCTACAGTTAAGGATATTCTACCGCTTTCCGTTCGGTCGAAGTTGAGAGGTACCTCATCCATTTACATGAGTTGATCGCTTATATAGCTAAAGACAATTAAACGATGCGCATAGTCAAAGCACAAAATAGTATTTGTGTAGAGAATTTAGATAAAAAAGTTGGTGATAAGGTTAGTGAAAATAAGGCTCCCAGACACATCCCCTTGTTTCCTGTTACAATACGCGGGCTTCTAATAGGACCATCAAATTGCGGTAAAACAAATGTGATGTTATCACTACTCATTCAACCAAATAGGCTACGATTTGAAAACGTATATCGATGGTCTCAAATCAATACCTCGTCCGAAATTTCGAATTTTTACTTTTTGCCTTCTATACAAATTAATTTAGAACAAAATTTTAAAAATAACAGAATAACCACGTTTATAGGTTATTCATATATTTATTTACTTGTCAACATTATTTATCAAATAATTAATTGGCTTTATTAAGCAATCAAGATATATTAATGTTCCTCCTCTAAAATTTAATTTTAATTTGGACATACGAGGTATTGATTTGATACCATCGATATATTTATTCAAAATGTTTATACTAGAAGAAGTATGAAGTTTTGACGCCGATAAAAGGGTTAGGTGATTTTACGTTTAACAATAATGAAGATGCCAAATCGAATTCTATATTTATATTTGATGACGTGATTTGTGAAAAGCAAGATGTTATTAGATCATATTTTAGTATGGGACACAGAAATATAGATTGCTTTTATTTGGTTCAAACGTATTCGAAGATTCCGAAACAATTGATTAGAGACAATGCAAATCTAATTATTATGTTTAAACAACTTAAACCTATATCACATATGCTCAGAACATGTAGCTCCAGATGTTCTTTAAAAAAAAAATCAGGAATTGTGTGTTCTGAATGCTGGGGTGAAAAGCATGGATTTCTAGTAGTCGATAAAGATATAAGTGCGGGTAGATATAAGAAAGGATTCGATAGCTTTATATATCC